TATATATATATATATAGACACACACACACACACCACCGAAAACATTCAAATTTGTATATCTAACATGGTAATTGAAGTATTGACACTAATATCACTTGAAACACATTGATGCATCATAAATAACAGCCTTCCACAATTCTGTGTTTCTCATGTGCTAGTTTGAAATCAATTTTATTTTTTTGTTCTAATTAAAGAATAAAAAAATTATAATTTAAAAAAACATTCAAAAACTTGTAAACCATCATATCTTAATCAAATATGTAAAATATATTTCGTTTCAAATTAAAGGATAAAAGAGAGAAAAAAAATTGGGATCATTTTTATATTTTGCTTTCTATTTTTCGTTTTTATCTTATTTTATTTATGTTTTGCGATTTCCAAGGTGGACATTTGATGGAGTTATTAACAATCATCAGTCAAGTTAACTCAGGACCCGTAGTTACCGAGCAAAGAATACAGCTCAAATCCAAAAAAGTTAGTTTCTGAGTAGGTATTCATCTTTGCTCCTTACCCTCCAACAAGGAGGTGTGAGTTTTCAATTCCTTTAAAAAAGAAGTATTTATCTAGAAATTGAGAATCATTGTCATCATCATAAATAATCTTATTCCAATTATATTCTTTGTGAATCCTCATTTTTCATCTGTTTTTGTTGAGTGTTAATTGAGGTATTGAACTCATTCTTCACAAATCATTTTGAATAACTTATATCAATATTAACTTATGGCTGCCACCTATTCCCAACTCTGTAACATTATTTTCATCTCTCACCTAATAAGTACCTTTTTCACCCTTCATTGACCATTTAAACTTAATTTCAAGCATTTTATATTCAATAAAAGTCACACCAATTCCACTAGTATAATTATATCTTTCTACTTTACCACATAATATTCTCACATCTATTACGCTCAACTTAAATATTAAGAGTTCTTTTACCACCAAATGCTGAAATATAAATAGCACAATTGACCTAATTATAATGTTAAAAATTACTTTAATAACTCTATGATATCTTTTTATAGTGCAATACTTTTGATACCTCTAAACCTTAGCTCTAGAAAATAATCTTCATCTATATTATTGTTTTTTTAATATATTCAGATCTAAAATACATAAACCTATTGCTATAAAATTTCATTTATCTTCAAATATTATTAGTTGAGATTTATTAATATCGCACATACTAAATTGTACACTAATAATTGATCTTTATAAAACCAATTTGAAATTCTATATCTTCCAAGTCTTTATTACTAACTTTACATTTACTTATTTGGATGAATGGACAATTAGAACAATTTAATATGGAAAAAGAATACACAAATACAGTTACCTTTGAAAAGCACTTGCCATCATATTTATAATCAATATAAAGCAAATACAAAAGATCAATGTTGAAACATGATGTAATTCTACTATAAATGAAAGCTACTTGGTTACTTTACAATTATTTCTAATACAAGTCGGTGCTTCATCATATATATCTTTAATTATTTTTTCATAAATTTGACACCTTTTTTTACTTTGATATGCATCAAATCAAATTTTATGATACTCGATCATATACCTTCTTAAAGTCAATAAAATATTAATTGAAAAACTTTTCTTTATTGTTCAAGCATTTACATTTATTACATTAACGCCAAAAATATTTCAATAATAGATTTTCATAGCCTAAACTCAAATTAAACTGATATAAGTTTTCTAGGCCTACTATTGCACTCTTTCCCATAAGTTCATTATATGACACATATATTTGATTTCTCAATAGTTAGCGCAATTTTTAACATTTCATATCTTTAATAGTGGCATCAAATTGCTTTTTACCAATTATTTAGTATCCTAATAATTTTTAAATTTTTATTTAAAAATTTGTCAGTCAAATCATACTAATATTTCCCAAAACCCTCCAAATCTCAATAAGTATTTCTCCGAACCTTCAAAATAATTTCTTCCTTTAAGAACACAGATAATGATTTCCCAAAAATAATATTTTGCATAAATTCATCATTAACTAAGACCCTATTATAAAAAAATTATAAGATTTGTAAGCTTGATGTTCCATGTGGCGGATGTAGCTATGGTCAAGCTAGCTTTGTTATAGAAAACAAGTTAATGAGGCAAGGATTATCATGCAAAGCTTTCACACCATCAAAGTTTCTTTTTTTATACTCATCTCTCCAGAAATATATCCTAACAGTTGACTCTCTCATACTCTACAAGATGAATCAAGCGATCATGGCGTGACGTTGTGTCAATTGACTGTGAAGGACTTTGAATCATTCGACGAAGTCACTTGAAACATCACCCATTCATAGGAGGACTTCATAAATTCATATGATGACGCATGAATCAAATCCGAACCGCTTCAATTATCATCAAGATTGCTTAAATATCCTTCATTCGTAAAATTGACTATACGAGTGAGTCTGGGACATCAAAATCTATTAAGAGAGAGAGTTGACTGAACACGATGAGAACGACGCACCACGAATGCAACAACAACAACAACAACAACAAAGCATTAATCCCACTACGTGGGGTCGGCTACATGAATCATTTTTCTCCATTGCTTCCTATTTAGTGTCATATTTTCATTTAGTTCTAGTAAATTAAGATCACTTTTAATACAATAAGCCCAAGTCTTCCCAGGTATACCTCTGCCTTTCTTAGCACAAGTCGAATCTAAAACATCTACTCTCCTAATCGGATCATCAGATGGTCGACGTTTAATGTGACCAAACCATCTAAGACGACTTTCTCTAATTTTGTCCGTCACAGGAGCTACACCAACCCTATCACGAATATATTCATTTCGTATTTTGTCTCTAAGTGTAAAGCAACTCATCCACCTAATCATTCTCATCCCGACAACACTTAACTTATTATTATGCTTCTCTTTTAAAGGCCAACATTCAACGCCATATAGCATTGCAGGTCTCACCACCATCTTATAAAATTTTCCTTTCAGTCTAAGCGGTACTTTTCTATCACACAAAAGGACCGAAGCATTCCTCC